ATATATATATATATATATATGTTGTTGTTGTTGTTATATGCTGTCGAGTCGGAGCTTACTCATAGCGACTCCTCCTTGGGTTTCCAAGGCAGTATCACTACGGAAGTAGATTGCCCCATCTGCCTTATGAGGAGTGGCTGGTGGGTTTGAACCACAAGTCTTCTGGTTAGCAGTCAAGTGCCTTAGCCACTATGCTACCAGAGCTCATATATATAAATATATAATCACAATACTTTTATTCCCATTTCTTTCCTTTTATATTTCCACCCTTCTTTCTTTGGTTTCCTCTCTCCTTATTTTTTTTCCTTCCTTTGTTTCTCTTACAAACATTTATAAAATGTCAACCATATATAATCATTTAGGAGGGCAGCAATGTAAACAAGTTAGTGCATTTAATGGTGATGAAAACAGGAACAAAGTTTCAAGGAAAGGAAAATTTAGTTTTCCTGAAATTAGACTGCTGGAAAATAGGAATATTTTCATAGCTGAGGTGAACCAATTTAGCTGTGTTATTAATAAAGATAGGTGGTTTGCTGTGCAGACAAAGAGGAAGGGCTTTTGTAGTTAATAAGCCATGACAGCAAATGCACGGAGGCGTAAAACAACTAAGTGTACTTGGGAAATGGAAGAAGCAAATGGTTGACAGCGTGAGAATGACTAGAGTATAAGGTGAATGGGATTGTCATGAAAATTGATGAAGGTGGAATCAAGTCAGAGTCAGAGAATGTCATAACAGTGTCTCAGATGTGTAGTGGAAGATAAAAAGAGACATTGCTTGTATTCAAGAAATTATTTCTAAAGACACTCTCTGAATACCTGGAAGTAAGCAAAAATATACTTTCAGCATGTCAAGTTAATACATATATACTAAGTTCTTATAGTGTGCCTTTACCAGTCTGTGAACAGTGGATGCCTAAACAGAAAAGATGGATTTATTCATTGTTAAGTTATGAACAAATCTAGTCCTTGAAGGATAGCATCAGAGAGATCTGTAATGAGAAATACATCTTAAACCTTGATCTGAAGAACAGATGGATCATGTCTTTAGGAGAGGGTGTTTATTTTGCTCTTTCTCTCAGAGATATGATATTTGCAGAAAGTAAAATCAGAAAAGACCCTTAACTTTGTCTTAACTTTGCTTACCTTAGAGAGCAGGTTGATTGCTAGAGATGCAGTGAGGTTTTCATGATATCAGTTCACTTTCTCATTAGGAGCTCTGGTAATATAGTGCCTAAGGCACTTGACTGCTAACCAGAAGGCTGGCGGTTCAAACCCACCAGCCACTCCTCAGAAGGAAGGTTGGGCAATCCTACTTCTGTAGTGATTCTGCCTCGGAAACCCAAGGAGGGGTCGCTATGAGGCGGGGCCGACTCCACGGCAAATAACAACAACAACAGTGGCCTTTCATGGGCTATAGATCACCCAGCTCCTAAAAAGAAAGTCCACAGCTCCTTGACATACAACTTAAAGGCCAAGAGATGGAAAAAATTGTTAGCAGAGACCAAGGGAATAGGAAAGGTAGTGACAGATAGTGGGCTTTTCATGATATTACACAACTTCCTGAAACTTTGATGTGTATAATCCTTTTGGAATTTCTTAGAAAATTATATCATTTCTTCTGCTTTAAGACCCAGTGGCTTAGAACACCTTATATGATGCTGACAAACGATATATTCACTTGTTCTCCCTGTGTTCACGTTTCTCAGCTAGCTGATCTCCTGAGAAGAGTTGGGTGGGAAAATATCTCTGAAGATCACATTTTGCAATTTCTCTTTTGCTGGCAGTCATATAAAAAGGCTCCAGTCAGAAGTTATTGTCTTCTGTCAGGCTAAGGGACTGTTTAACACTGGTAGGCTCTGAAGGGAGAAACCAAGGAAATATTTCTGTGACTGAAATGCTTGCTTACTGTTTTCATTCAGCAACAACAGGCTGCACCAGTGGAAGGAATTGGTCGAGAAGAAAGGGTTTTGGCTTTATATGACTTCCAGGCCCGCAGTCCCCGAGAAGTCACCATGAAGAAAGATGATGTCTTAACTTTGCTTAGTTCTATCAACCAGGTGATTTTCCTTTCTAAATTTCTTTCCATCAAAAGGGGTCTCTGTCAAGTGTTCATATGTTGGCCAGCCAACATATTTATATCACTTTCTCTCTTAAATAACTATAATTTAGTAAGTAGTTTCTTTCTTTCAGATATTGTGTAAGAACTTATACCTATCTTTTCTAATCTTTATAGCAACTCTATTAGGTAAGATTATAATTCCAATTTACAGGTAAACAAATGAAGTTTCAAAAGCATTTCAGTAACTTTCCCAAAGACCCATAAAATAAGTGGCAATTCTGTGATATATTTAAAGGACTAAACTACCACTTTCTTCCTGTTTTTGCCCTATCCTTTTCTGTGCCAGTGTTCTCAGTGATGAGACAAAAATATCTGGGGTTAAGAGAAGACTGATAAAAGACTTTCAATTTATTCTAAGTCTTTTATTTATCTGATTTCCTTTAGACCTTATGTCTGTGAGTACAGTGACAAAATATTGGCTAGGATTATTGATATGTTTTTCATAAAAACACAGTGTTTTTTATATTCTAATACCTAATGATCTCCAAAAATATTTGAGAAGGAAGGAAGGAAGGAAGAAAGTTTGGAATATCATTAAGTTAATTTCTTGAAGAGACAAGATGTTCCATTCTCAAATAAGCTGTGCCTCTTCTTTCTTTGCCCCTGCCAGTCCATTTCAAGAGTCTCCTCGGAGAAGATTAACTGCATAGTGTTAGTATAGCAATATCCCCAAAATAGTTTGTGGGAATCAGGGTGCTATTTAAATAAAAACCATTCATAGAAGAAAATTTTAGGAAAATTCACAATTTTTAGGAGCTTGGGTAAGGAGGTAGAGGAGAAGAATAGGGGAAAAGATAAATTTTGTGTAACAATGCCATATACAGCTGCTTCATCCACAAGAAGCCCAGTTAGATTTTAGCTTACGTGTGTGTGTGTGTGTCTGTGTGTGTGTGTAAGTTCCTTAGGGGATAGAGAGCCCCATCATTAGAGAATTGTTTTGGTTCTTGAAAGCTTTCTCAAACGTAAGGGTCTAGCATCAAATGTATGACTCCTAGATTTCAGAGCCTTATCTCTGGAACTCATGCATTCCTCATCTACTTTCTTTATAATATGTGAAAAGTATATGCCACCCATAAACAATTGTTTGCTTCTCTTAGCCATCAACCGGTGCCTATACCAACTTAGTTATGAAAGTTGAAATTTTTCCTAATTTTTTTTATTTTTATTTTTCAAGAACTAAGGAAGGTGTGGGTATTTGCTCTCTCTTCAGGATTGGTGGAAGGTGGAAGCTGATGACCACCAGGGCTTTGTTCCAGCTGTCTATGTCAGGAAACTGGCCCACGATGAGTTCCCGACGCTTCCACGGCGGCAGCGAGAAGAGCCAGGCAACATTACCCAGCGCCAGGAGCAGATTGAGGACCAGTAAGTTCTACAGGCAGGAAAACTGGACAGTGTTTGGGAAAACATTTCCTTTTTGTTGAAGACTCTAATTTTCTGACTTTGCATCCGTTAGAAGATTAGAGATATCATTGCAAGTGCACAGATTTTAGGAGCTGAAAGTAAACAGAGTACTTTAAATAATTTCATAGATAGGAAGGAAAACCCAGAACCACAAAGTCAATTGCTTGAGCCCAGAAACATAATAAAACCACATGTTCTGACTCCCTGCCCAGGATTCTTTCAGGGTATCAAAGGTCCTAACTTCCGTATGACCTCTGTTTACCATATTAGCCTGTATCTTATCTAGTTGCCAAGTGGCATGTGCAAATTTCATTTTTATAGAAGAAGGGAACAATGTTGCCATTGGGACTTCGATGTTTTTATCCTTTTTAAATTAACACTGTGTGTTTGTCTCTGCTTTAATACTTTTTTTCCTTCTATCTTTATTTCCTCCTCTTGTTCACATTCTCTTGATTCCTCATCTCTCCTTTTTGTTGCTTTCTTTCTCTTCTCTCATCATACCTCTACTTGTTTGTGTTTTCTCCATCCCATTCTCTCGACTTTGCCACCCAGGTACCGCTCCCTCCTTGATCTGGCAGAAGAGCGCAGACGTCGTCTATTGCAACGTTACAATGAATTTTTGTTGGCCTATGAGGCAGGAGACATGCTGGACTGGATCCGAGACAAGAAGGCAGAAAACACTGGGGTGGAACTAGATGATGTTTGGGAGTTGCAGAAAAAATTTGATGAGTTCCAAACGGTGAGAAAGAAAGACTTTCTCTTCTAGACACTTTTTGGAGAGGGTGTCATGATTATCCTTTATTCCACATCTCCCTCTATGTGACCTCTGAGTTTACTTCATATTTGCTGAATATCTTTCTCAAAGCTACTGTGAGCTCTGCATTTCGAATATTCCAATGGGCATTGTAAATATTAGTAACTGAAATAGGAGGTAGAGAAAACTAGTCATCCTTACAGTTTGTAGTTACTATCATTCCCATAAGCATAGGTACTGAAACAAGG